GTCTCTCTCTGTCTCTGTCTCTCTGTCTCTCACTGTCTCTGTCTCTCTGTCTCTCTCTGTCTCTGTCTCTCTGTCTCTCACTGTCTCTGTCTCTCACTGTCTCTGTCTCTGTCTCTGTCTCTCTGTCTCTCACTGTCTCTGTCTCAGTCTCTCTGTCTCTCTCTGTCTCTGTCTGTCTCTGTCTCTGTCTCTGTCTCCCTGTCTCTCACTGTCTCTGTCTCTCTGTCTCTCTCTGTCTCTGTCTCTCTCTGTCTCTGTCTTTCTCTGTCTCTCTCTGTCTCTGTGTCTCTCTCTGTGTCTGTCTTTCTCTGTCTCTCTCTTGTCTCTCTATCTCTATTTCTCTCTCTCTCCTCTCCTTCCCTCCCTTCCTCTTTTCCTCCCTCCCTCCCCAAGTCTCCCCCACCTCTTCCTTCACCCTGACCCTCAGGGACCCCTACCCTGGGACCATAGGCCCTGGAGCGTACTCGGGCCTTTCCTGCTGGCAGAGAACCCACCCGGGCAGCACCCAGGGCCCTGGTGAGACGCAGGGAAGCCAGCCTGGGTGAGGAGCTGTGGAGGGGCAGATAGGAGGCTGAGAGGGGCCTAGGAAGAGGAGCCCTGAGTGAGTCCCAGCAGCAAGGCTGGGCCTGGGCACAGAGAGCAGCTGTGTGAGTCCCACAGTGCAGCCCTCATCGCGGGCCTGCCCAGGCCGACCTTGGAAAGACGCTGCCCTGAGCCCCACCTGAGACCTCAGTCCTATGTGACCCTGGAGGGCAGAACAGAGGAGCAAGCGCTTTTCCAGGCAGGGCCGAGGGATGCAGGGCTCCAGAGAATCAGCGCGGAGGCCCTTCCCACCAGAGACAAACCCCGCCAGGCTGCTGTGCTGGTTTGTGTAGTGGCTTTGCTGGATTTTTAGCTCTTCCCACTGAAATACAGATCCCACCTTCCCTGCATCCATGATCTGCCCACTCGGTGGGGTGGGTGTCTCATGCTGGTGCTCACGTGGGCACAGTGTGGCCATCATAAGCCCTTGCTGACTGCAGAGAGAAGGGAGGAGCTGAGAGCAGCCTCTGCAGATGGGAGTGGACCAAGGGTCAGCTGTGCCTGGCCACTGTGTGAAAAGCCCTGAAACTTGGATGGGAGAAACTCACTGCAGTGGAGAAACACTGAGTGCATCACTGCCGTGGGCCTGGTCAGTTAGATTTACTGCCCGCAAGGTGGCGCCCAAGTATCAGTGATGGCCATTCCTTGACCTCTCGTGACCGAGGGCTCCCCTCTAACTGTGCGCCCTGCACTGCTGGTCTCTGAGGGTCCAGGCACAGGAGGCCTCTGACTTCCCTGCGTCCCTTGTCGCTGTGGAACCGGCTCCCGTGGACACCAAGCCACTGACTCCTCCCAAGCTGCAGGGACAGGGCCAGTGCCTTCCCCGACAGAGTGCCACTGCCCAGCCTGGAGGCTGCCCGGGGAGCTGACTGGGATTCTCCAGGATCCACAGTGAGGCTGGGGGTGCACATCAGAGCCAGCAAACTGCAGGCCACTGAGGACCGGCCCCGGGTGCACCCGAGTGCCTGGGGAGCTCTGTCTACAGCCCTGTCCCAGGCTTGCTTGGCAGCTTGCTCCTCTCAGCTCACTCGGCCCTGGGGCTGCCACTCACCTGGGCCCCACCCCCTTCCTGCCAGAGCAGTCTCCCCTCTCGTCTGACCCCACCCTCGGCCCCTGGGTACCCACAGCAACTGCCAAGTGTTTGGCCCTCTCCTGGCCTAGGGGAGCGAGGGGGGGTGCAAGAGCAGCTCCTCCCCCAGTCTGAGCCCAAGGAGGGGCCTGGGGAGGCCCAGGGATGGCCCAGCACTGGGCTTGCAGAGACCGGCTCATGGCCTCTGTCCCTCTGCTTTCAGAAGCCTGTAGTGTACCTTTTCAGATTCCTGGTGGGAGGCATAGCTCTCGTCCTAGTTACCCTTTGGCAGGGGAGAAGATCTGCTTCAGGAGCCCCAGCTAACACTGTGAGTGCGGAAGTCCTGGGTGGTGGCAAGATGTCCCCAGAAGGGGGTGGGGCCCGGCCAGTGGGAGGAGCCCTGCAGTGTCCTACCCTCCAGGCTGCAGTCCTCCTTTAACCTTGCTGTCCCCCATCTGGCTGTTTTTCTAGGACCCCCAACATGACCGTGCCAGACACCAGAGGCATCCTGGCCACAGGCAAGGCCCCAACGGACCTCCCAAGGCCCATAAGCAAAGCTAAGGGTTCTACGAGCAGCTTTCCCTGGAGCCACGCAGAGTCCTCCCCATCCAGGTTCCAAACGGCTCTCCCACCGCTGGCTTCCTGGACCTCCACCTCAGCTCAGCCTGGGCAGTCCTGCTGCTCCTCTCCCGAAGAGAAGATGGGGGCCCACAGAGACCGCCGGCGAGATCCCCTGGTCCTGTGCTGTGTGTGGCTCCCACTCACCACCTTGTGCGCTTCCCTGCCCTTGAGTCCTGGAGACACAAATACATGCAGCTAATCACCTCTTTTTAGTCACTCGTTCACTTGACAATAGTGCATCGATACATACTTATGGAGCATTTGTTTGACACATTCGGTCTTCTACCATGGCAGGACCTGGGGAACGCTGTAAACGTGACTTTGTCCTGGACCTCAAGGACCTTCCGGCCTCCCGAGAGCTTCAGCAGGTGTATTCACCAGTTTTCCTCACTCTTACAAAACACCCAACGCAGGCCATTCATGCAGAAAGAGGTTTATGCCACTCAGTTTGGGAGCTTCAAAGCCGTGGTACCTCCATTGGCTGATACAGTATAAAAAGTTGAGTGAAAGTTTGGGTTGCAGTTAAGGGGAAGGGGAAGGATAGGAGGGAAAATAAAACATGTTACTGCATGCGTGAATGTGATGAAACAAACTCATTATTCTGTATCATTAAAATGCACTTGTAAATTTTTTAATTTGTGGGTGGAGTTTGAGAGTCCATGCTGCAAATATAAAGAACCGAGCCCTGGAATCTGTGCGTTGTGCTTCTCAGTAAAGATGAGGGGCTGTTTGGGCAGTGGTGAGTGGTGATTTTGGTGATCCAAACTGGGGACACAGGGCGGTGCCCCTGAGCCTCAGCGGGCAGCTGTTAAGCGTTTGCAGCACACTGCTGGACCCTGCGATGTTCTGCAGCGTAGGGAACCACGGCAGCACGCACGGGCGCCTCCTGGATCATCCTGCTCACAGACACAGAAGGAAGCCTGGTGATTTCGGGGCTTTCCTGGGGAGTCAATGTGGATGGGGCAGTTTCGGTCCAGGCAGGCAGTTGCACAGATTTGAGGTGGGGAACTGTACACTTGAAAACGGTTGGGATGGTAAGTTTTAGGTTGTCCTTGTTTCATCACAATGAAATAAAATAAACAATTTACTATTTTTTTTAAAAAAAAGCACACCCAGGTGTCTCAGGAGCATCTCCAAGTTTTAAACCCCCAGTGCCCCTCTCCCAGTTCCTGCAGGAGGCCTCGGTCCCCAGTGCGATGCTGATTACGCCCTTGGCTCTGTAGTCTAGTCACACATCCTGCACCTAAACAAAAGGGAGGCATTCACAGGGTTGCTTGGCTCCAAGTCCATCCGTCCTGGCAGGGCAGAGGCTCTGGGGTGGGGACGCCTTGCCACATTGCCACAGTCTTGGACAGCGTGGAAGATGGACTTTCGAGGGAAGTACGTGCATCCGTGTAAGGTCTCGCGGGCTGTGTGTAGAGCAAGCAGGTGTCCTGGCAGGTGAGAGGGTCACAAGTTCAAGCCCCACCTGGACGACCCAGGGCAGAAGAGCGCGGTGGGGGAAAGGTGCATAACTCATGGCGGCCAGGAAGCTGAGCAGGGCCACAGTGCTGGACAGGAAGGGGACAGGAACCAGGTGTGCCTGGACCCCAGGCCTCTGTGACTCACCCGGAAGTGTGCTCCCCCAGTCCCCAGGGTGGGTCCCAAAGCCAATCAAGCTGACACAGTGGGGTTTAACTGCCACATGGAGATAGATATTCTCAGCCCACTCACAGCTGAGGAAACTAGGACTCGGAGGGAGCCCTTCTCGGAAACACACTCACTGCTCAGTGGACAGGAGACTGACTCCCAGCCTCCTGACGCACAGCCCAGCACTTTCTCCTACCACACCGTGCTGCTGGTCCACTTTCCCTTCTCCCTGAATGGCTCCAACCCCACTGCTGAGCCTAGGCAGGAAAAGGCACAGACAGCGCTCTGCTGGCTGGGGGCAGCCTGTTCCTGGGAGAGCAGCGGGTAGGGCTCCTGGGGGGACATACTTCCCTCCACCAGCAGGAGAACCTGGAGTGTTTTATAATAAAGAAGAAAAATGGCCGGAAGTGGTGGCACACGCCTGTAATCCCAGCCCTCGGGAGACTGAGGCCAGAGGATTGCCGCGTATGTAGCCACTACATAATGAGTTCAAGGATAGCCTGAACTACAGAGCAAGACCCTGTTTTAAGAATAAGTAAATAAAATAAAATAAAATAAAAGCTATTATTTTAAAAAAAGAAAAATAAGCAAAGTTCCCATCTAATAATCTACTGCCCTTCTCTCTTTCCGTCTTCTGACTTTCACTGGTTATAAGTGTATAGTGTTAACTAACAGGAAAAGGGTATTCAGAGTAGCTTAGAATGTTACAGAAAGTACCGTTATGATTTACATAAGGAAAATGCACTAAATGATACCCCCAAGGGAAAATTCTTACTGGTCTATATATATAAACCTAAAACTAAGGAAAAATGATTGCTATAATTTAACATCTAAAAGTGAGCTCTAGGGCCAGGGATTTAGTTCAGTGGTTCTGTCACTTGCCTTG